CTGATGGTAAGCAATCGGCGCCGCCCATGGACACTCGAAACACCAAGGCGTTACAAGTGCGTCACCGGCCTTTTGGGAATTGGGAATTTGAGGATTGCGGAGGATTCGGGGATTCTGGAGACGGGGACTAGGGTAATTGGGCCTCCGGTAACCTCACTCACACGACGAAACATAACGCAAGCGTTGTTTCACGTCGGTTTTCTGTGAGGCAGTGGTATCACTCCGGTCGAGCCGGCCCATTCGTGCCGAAGCATGGCTCTCCCACACTTAAATTAATTGAGTAACAAATATATAACATGCTCACAAACATTCACGTTTCTGGTATTTCATAGTCTGTATACATAGGTGTCGTCGAACTAATCAATAATTAAATCAATGTCGTACTAGGAATCATCCTTAAACAAATTTTGTCAGTTTGTATACAATGTAAACATATATGTTTACTTGGAAAATAAGCCACGTGTCAATCTAGACCAAGTTCATAGTTTGGAGTGTAAACAACTGTGGTTTATAGTTTCCTTGAAATGGTTCGGTATCAATACGTACGTATATCTTAGTTTAGTCCACTGTATTATCGTCCTCACAGCGTTAAGGGAATATCGATTGAAGTTTTATTTTCGTTTATTAACAATTTCTTTTTTTTATTTTATTTGATGGGCCGACGTTTGGCCACTGTCTTGCCTGGTGGTAAGCGATGATGCGGTCTACGATGGAGCGTGTCGTCCCATAAGCAACCTACTCACTCGGGCCTTGAAGAAAGGTAATACAGACTCTGATACTAAAGAATCAGATTACAATGACATGTATGACGCGTGCCGTGTTCTCTATTTATTTGATTTAAAAATTATGTAATTGTGGATCATGAAGAAACTCTCAGGTTCTGTTTACGGTTAAAACAAAGGGTAGGAATGAAGTAATTTAGTTCTGGGTATGACTTTTGTTCTTTACCGTGGAATGAGCAAATACCTTTAAATTTATATTGTTGACGTTCAAAAGTGTCTTCCTGGTCTAATTGAAATAAATGATTTTGACTTTGACTTTGATTTTGTGTGCTCGCGGTGAATTTTCAGATCATCTGGGTTTTGTTTGTCTACATAATTATTCTGCTTTGTGTTATCTCTCTAGCTTGTGTCTGTATAAGCGTAGGAGAGCCATGCTTCAGCACGAATGGACCGGCGACGTGAAACGACGTTGGCGTTGCCTTTCGTAGTGTGAGTGAGGTTACCTGAATCCAATTACCACGTAAACCTCGTCCAAACTTTGATGGACAACAATTCAGAGCTTAAACAAAAGTACAATAGGAATCCATCTTTAATTCAGGTATATTGCGAGACATAAAAAGGTAACCTAAAGAGGTGGCATTGTTAATGATTTCTGTACTTTGCATTTACTTTGCACGGCAGTGTAAATGAGTTTCTTTTATATTTCTCTTTGAAAATTCTCTTTTGTGTTTAAGAAAAAGTTTTTTAGTGTTCTGAGGCAGTTTTTATGAACGACAGTGTAATTATTTTTAATTTTAGTGCTCACGCCACGGTTTAATGACTAATTGGTATATTTTTAATCTTTATGACAAATTGTCATTTTGTTTTTAGTAAAGTAGAATAAGTTCGTGTATTAATCGTAAGGTTAAAATTTTCGTGAATTTTTTAATTATGTTTTTAGATAAAAAGGTTTCATAATTTTTTTGGTTATTTTAAGTAATGATATTAAACTGCCTCGTTGGCCGAACGGTTTTTTTTTTTAAGGGGGTACAATAATCGAATGACTGCTCCCGCCTGGGTGAGGCGGGAGGGAGTGACTCTTACTGACAAAAAACCATCCCGTTTCTTCTCCTGCGCTTCGAGCCGGAGCCCCGGTTACCCGTTAGGTTCTCCGCGACTCCGAATCGGCATCGGCCTTGTTGCCCAACAGGGCTGATTGACAACCGTGTAAGATTGCACGGTTTTCGCGATGGCTGGGCTACTGGCTGCCGCGCAGCGTGTCGCGGGTTCGATTCTCGAACGGAACAACTCTTTGTGTGATCCACTAATTATTGTTCAGGGTCGGGGTATCATGTGTATGTGAACTTGTACACGACACAGGAGAAAATCCTAGTGTGGGCCAGCTTTAAACAAAAAAAACAATGTATTTTTTTACAATTTTTGTCTGTCTGTTTGTATTGGCTATTCTCTGGAATGGCTGGATCGATTTTGCAAGACTTTTCTTGGCAGGTTGCTGATGTAAGAAGTAACTTAGACTACTTTTATTTTGTAAAATTGAAAAAAAAGAAAGTTATGTTCTAAAATTCTTATTCTATGCGGACGAAATCGCGGGTAACCGCTAGTCAAAAATAATATAAACCACAATTCTTTATTAATGACTTCTATGACAAGAATACATTGCATACTATATTGCTATCTTGAATATCAACAAGTTATGAGACCGAACAAACATAATCTGGTAATAAATGAGCAACAAAAATGTTTCAAACACGCTGTATCTGCTTATATCACGCAATGTTGAAAGAAAAACTCATTCGTTTTATAGTTTTATTAAGTCTAAATATGGCTCTAAGGATGTCATTTTGTGTTGATATGTATTTATAAAATCAATTAACTCGTCGAGTACCGTATTTATAGACACAATTAAAGAACAATAGGTTGCGGTCACCAGTGACCGCTCGGTGTTTGACAGTTTAAACCATTTAAATGCATTTTGATACACACAATCCTATTAATATTACTGTTGTATACAGTTTGTTTGCCGCGGAGAACCTAACGGGTAACCGGGGCTCCGGCTCGACGTGCAGGAGAAGGAATGGGGTGGTTTTTAGTCAGTAAGAGTCTGACACTCCCTCCCGCCTCACCCAGGCGGGAGCAGTCATTCAATGATTTTACCCCCTTAAAAAATACAGGTTGCTGTTACTCCTTTATGTCAAAATGGCTGAAGAGATCGGGATGAAATTTAGAACAGAGGTAGGTTAAGGTCTGAAATATCACATAGGACACTTTTTATTCCACAAAAACGTGGGTGAAGCCGCTGGCAAAAGCTAGTTTATCACATAAGAAAACAAAATAGCCCTCAGTGCATTAACCTTACAAAAACAAATGCATTTGAAAAACACATCCATAAAGACTAAAATGAAATAAACGTTTTTATTTCTTATACGAAAATGAACCTTACCGAGTACAAAATAAATAACTTGTAGTTACATTAATACGTCTACGCAGTCGTATTAATGGGTTTAGTGCACCGCTGAGTTAATCCTAAGCCATTGTGTTGATATATAAATAAACAAAGAACATTTCTTGAATGTTTCATTAATCTGGGAGTTGCAAGTACTATTGGGTACATTCCGTAATAAAAAATAAATTATTCCGACTGTTCAATACAACAAAATATAAAAAAATAATCACACTTTCATTAATTGATTTTATGACCAACTTGATTTTAGTATTTTTTGTTCCGTCAATCATAATTAAAAATGAAAATACAAATCTACAAGAAATATTCAACTAAATTATAAAACGGAAGCCCAAAACATAAACATAACATGTGCACATTACAGCACTTAATGTCACTGTACAATGTAACACCCACATTTCTCTATTTATGTTAGGAATCCCATGTAATAGGGGGTGAGCCTGTTGCCATATACCGGGCACAATTCCAGACTCCGTGCTACTACTGAGATTTGTTTTAAAAACCCAGTAATGCATTGAAAATGGAAGCCTTAATCATATTAAATTACAGTGTGAAAAGATTCCAAATAATTATTCGAAAGTGGTCATGTCCAAAATCTGGAAATACATTCCAGAAAGGACCACGTTCCACTTTGCAACTGAAAACTGAATACTAATCCGGTCTAATATAAATAAGAAGTATGATAATGAGAAGGCGAGCGGAATAAATTATCCATGTTTTACGATAAAAGTTATATTTTATTCCCGTAAATATATAAATTGTGTATTCCATAATGATTGCTTCGAAACACGTCTTTTGCGTACACGCACGAATTTTCATTGCGAATTTGTTTTTTTTTTGTGTAAAACTTATATCAAGTCTGGTGTGGTATTTCATTTTAAACTTTGTAATTTCGTGGTCGTAAAGTAAATTAAGTTTTGTGTATTTTATTTTTATGTAGTGAGCGATAGAGGCTTATATTCTACGTTTGATTAAACTTTAGATTAATGTTTGAAGTAATTGTGGTTAACTTGTTTTGGACCAAAAGTTTGTGTTGAATTTTAATACGGTCTATTTTTTTAAATGCCTACTTTATATGATTGTAGACGGTTAGAGCTGGCGTGCATCGTGTCGCGGGTCTGATTAATCCACAAATTATTGTTCTGTGTCTGGGTGTCATGTGTATATATGTTTGTAAATGTACCCACGATACAGGGTAAAATCTTAGTGTGAGGCGACGTTAAAAAAAACACAAATATTAAATCGTGTGATTATTGAGTTTTTGAGTAAAAAGAAGATCCAATTACTGCCCTCTCCAACCCTCAAATCCTTAAACCCCAAAAGGCCGACAATGCCTCTGATGTTTCTGATGTCCCTTGGTGGCGCAATTTGCTCACCATCAAGACAAGTGATCCATCTGATCATTATCACGTGTTTTCGTGTTAAACATACATATGCAATTATTTTATAATAACTATCGTGGGAAATTTTAAATTAAGTAAAAACGCGGGTTACTCACGTGGATATACTGAGAAAAGCTCTACTAGTTTCGAACCACAGAGGGGTTCTTCCTCATGAGCAGTGGTCGCGGCGACGTCGCGTTGCGTTTTCGTCGAGCTGCGTTTTTACTTAATACATATGCAATGTTAATTCTTCTTATCATGATCGAATGCAATAACTTTACTTTTCTTTAGGGGATGTATACGGCTTTGTTGTTTTTACTGTGTCAAAGAACCCTTCAACACGGAAGTTAAGTGTATAAAGATAGTAACTTACACCATATTGTCTTGTTCCAGAAAATGCCATCGGACATCAAAATCACCCTTAACCGATCGTAGATGATATCAGTGCCCGACCTGGATATACAATGGAACATAACAACGGACACACAGACCGAAATCATTATAGAAAACGTGAAAGAAGAAAAATACAACTTAACGAACAATTTTTACAGCGTAATAGGAAGGGCAGATGAGGTTATCGATAATTGTAGTGTTAATGTGAATTCTACTAAGAGTGGATGTTTAGAAGTGACGTATGATGGTGTAGAGATTAGTGTTGTGTTTATATTGTGCTTGTTAATCGTAGTTACTGTGATAGGTAATACTTTGATAATCTCTGCCGTTGTGACTACGAAACGGCTGCGTACAGTGACCAATTGTTTTGTGACCAGTTTGGCAGTCGCTGATCTGTTGGTTGGGATCTTTGTGATGCCGCCTGCTATTGCTGTTCATATCAGTGGTGAGTTGGCTTTTGTTTTTATTTTTAACCGAGATTATCTCGCGATCGGCTAAATCGATTTGGATGCGGTCTTCAGCAAAGTGTTTGTTACACTTAGAAGAGGGTAAACCAGATTTTTTAAAAGATTAACGAATGGAGTTTCTTGCTCGTTCTTCTCCACCCGAGTCGACATTTTGGAACGAGCGCCTAGCTTCACTGACGGACAGACTGACAGACTATTATTTAATTCATATTTGTTGACGTTTCAAAAGTACCAAATTATGGTTTAATTGAAATAAATGCTTTTGAGTTTGAGGGTTTTAGAAAATTAATTAACCAACTTCAAAAAAGGTTAAAGTCGATTTTTTAAAACTTAATTTTTAAAATAATTATTATTTGTCATATGGGGCTTTGAGAGCATTTAATGAAACGTGTGGTTCTGACGAATAATTGAGTGTAATAATATAATACTAACTTACGCTACTTGTGAGGCGAGGTGCTATACCTAGATATACACACACATACTACACACTATAAGTTACAATTTTCAGTGGGAATTTAATTCCGATAATTATGGGTGTATGATTAAAAATCACCAAATAATAAATATGTTATTTAAGTAAGTGTAATGAATGATTGAGATTTACAGCTGATGTTTCCATCATTGATTTGAGCCGAGTGGTCGCAAGTGCGACTGCTGGGCAAGGGGTCTCGGGTTCGATTCCCAGGGATTCGGGCAAAGTATTACTGGGTTTATAAAAACCTCAGTAGTAGCACGGAGTCTGGAAATGCGCCCGGTATATGGCAATAGGCTCACACCCTATTACATGGGACTCATAACATAAATAGTAAAAAGTATTTAGTTATTAACAGAAAACTAGGTTTGTCATCAGCCTCTAAACCAATAACCATCTTAAGACATCACTTAAATAAAACAATCCAGATTTTACTTGACAATATAAACTTTTAATGAGTTTGAATGAAAATAATTTTGATTCATTTCAATAGAAGTTTGTTACAGTTATGGTTCGTCTGTCCGTTTCATTATTATGTAAAATGGTTAACAGTTTTGAGAAGCTTCGTTTTGTAATTGATCGTAGAATCTATAATTTTCTTTGATGTGATGAATTATTAAATTTGTCGTTTATAGTGTAAGAGGTTTCTGTTTTGGTGACATACTTTTTTTAGATAATAATTGGTAAGTTTCCTAAATTTTATTTTAATGTCCGTCTTATAGATTATTTTAAAATATTAGACACGTATTTTTTCTTTTCTCACAAAATTAAAAGCTTTCGACGATATATTGATTCGATATGTCGTGTGACGTCACAACGTGCCACAAAATGTAACAACCTCCCACTCTTAAACTTAACTCTATTTTTTTAAAGTATTGTAACTTTATACGAGAAAATAAAATATACGTGTCTAATATTTTTACATTATCTAACTGACGGACTAATTAGATTTTTAATTTTCTTACCCTCGAAACTACCCAATTGTCGCATCTACTTTAAAGTTACCACGATACCCCGTTGGTGAAGAAATTGCTGAACAATAGGTCTCGAGTTTCATTCCCAGTTCAGGCGAAGCATTTCTGTTTCTTTCTCTTATGGTCTGTCATCCAAAATGGTTTGATATTGTTTCACTATCGTAATTTTTACAGCATGTAGATATGTTTCTATTTTAGAACCTTAAAAAACATAACATCCCTAGAATTCAATATTGGTATAACTAAATTAGTAAATTTAACAATTAATACAGACAATGACTAAGCATTTTTTTGTAAGGATGGAAAATCATCGAGTGACTTCATCCGCCTGAGTGAGGCCGGAGAGAATGTCAGACTCTTACTGCCTAAAAACCAACCCGTTCCTAGTCCTGCTCTACGAGCCGGAGCCCCGGCAACCCGTTAAGTCCTCCGCCGCTCTGTATCGGCATCAGCCCTATTGGGCCCTTAATTGAAACAAGCATTAATTGAAAATGACAGCTCAATATGTTTCGAAAGTTAAGCAATAAAATGATCAAATTAAATTAAACTGAAGATATAAAGAAGTTGGGAATAAGTTTAGAAAACTTTTTGTTATAAAACAAAGGAGGATCGGTATTAAAATAAAACTCGTCTTCATTTCAAGAAAAGACAATTTTAAATATGAAGAGACAGATAAAAGTGAATAAAAATGGTTATTTATAGGTTGTCTGATTTTATTTCTGTCCAGTAATAAAACAAAAAATTGACTGCACGGTTGGTGCGGTGGCTGGGCAACCGGCTGCCGTGCAACGTGTCGCGGGTTCGATTCCCGCACGGGACAACACTTTGTGTGATCCACAAATTGTTGTTTCGGGTCTGGGTGTCTTTGTGTATGTGAACTTGTATGTTTGTAAACGCACCCACGACACAGGAGAAAATCCTAGAGTGGGGCAACGTTTCATTTTAAAGAAAAAAAAATGTATATAAATGATAAATTCATTATTATTCTGCGATAAATTCTTCCAGCTGTTTCGCCCGCTCTTCCAGCTACAACATTGTATCCCAATCCCTTCGCCAATTTCGACGAGATTGAGTATCGAACATGCTTAAAACACACAATCCAAACGTGGGAGAGCCATGCTTTGACACAAAGGGGTCGGCTCGACCAGAGTGATACCACGGCCTCATAAAAACCGATGTGAAACAACACTTGCGTTGTGTCTCATTGTGTGAGTGAGGTTACCGGAGTCCCTATTAGACTCCTTCCTAATCTCTCTAATCCCCGAATCTCCAAAAATCCTCAAATTCTATATATATGATACTTTCTAAGTTTATTTAATACTAGCTTTTACCCGCGGCTTCGCTCGCGTCACAAAAGGATAAAAAGCCAATGTAACATACTTTTGTTTTCCCTCGGGAATATTAAATTTTTCGGGATAAAAAGTACCCTTTTATTTAATCCGGACTTCTAACTATACATCTGCAAAAATTCAAAGCAATCGGTGTAGTAGTTACGGCGTTAAAGTGGAACAAACAAACAAACAAACAAACTCACTTTCCGATTTATAATAGAGGTATAAGTAAGGAAAGTATGGATTTAGACATCACTGATAAATAGTGAAGAAAAACATCGTGAGGAAACCTGGCCTTGTAATTTCTAATTATAAATTTGAAATCGGTAATAGGGTTGTGATTATTGCTCAAACGTTTTCCGTGTGAGAAGAGGCCTTTGCTCAGGAGTGGGCACTTATAGGCTGTTGATATGATGTAGACTGTCACTGGGTGTTGCAGCAGAAGTTGAAGAAACCTAATAAAAGAAGAGTTAGCTTCGAACAAACTCCAAAATATTTTTTTCTTTCCTTATTTTATACCAAAACGTATCTTATAAAGTTTATGATAATTTCATGCCAACTTTGTGAGCTTCACTTCACTTAATATGTCTACTTTATTAGGCATCTCTTTAGCGTAAAGAAAAATCTAGATTTTTTGGATATTAAGCATTTTGCGTCTTAAATATATTTTGGGTTTTATGTGAATGGTATTTACTTTAAGTAAATAGTTGGTATATGAACATGATACGTGTAGATAAACGCATGTGTATGTCGTTTATGTTCAAAATTAAAAGTATCACATAACTTTACGCTTATTGTTCTAAAAAAAGGTGATTTAGAATAAATCTGCTTGTAACCAATTATGGTATTAAACAAACATTGGAAACAGGATACCTTAATATAAAAGACTGAAATCACTTAAATTTTTCTATCCTGATATCAAACACGAACCCACTCGTTCTAGTCAAGCACATTTTGCAACACAAGGTCGTAGCAGCTTCTACCAAAAAGGTTAATATTAAACAACATTGACATTCACACTCTATGCACCATACATTAAGGTTCAAATTGCATCACACCAACCCCCAACCCACAAAATACGAAAATTTAAAGGGAATGATTAAAAATATCCCTTTCACACCAACGAGTACTTCCTTTGCCCGATAAACGATAAAATGGCGGCTTCGATATATCACAAAATATGAAGGTCTCAGTTCTCGTAAAAAGGCAAAAGATATCAGATTTATTTCTTTGCCTTTTTCAAGGGTTATGTGGGTAGTTCGATAAATGTTCGTGACGCTTACATGTGGCGTGGAATATTTTAATATATTGTGAAATATATTTTTGTTTTTCTAGATGTTTCTATGGTGATAAAGAATGTGCATTGTTTTAAGAGCGCTGGAACTATTCTAGTGTTTTCTTACGTATCGTGAGTACATTTTCAAATATAGTTAAATCTTAATTAACTAAATCGCGGGTTACTCATGTGAATATACTGAGAAAATTTTATTTTAATGTCCGTCTGGTACATTAATTAACTTTAGACACGCATTTTTTTCTGTTCTGACAAAATTAAATACTGCCGACGATATATTAATTTGAAATATCGTGTGACGTCACAGCGTGCCACATTTTGTAGCACGTTATGACGTAACGACCTCCCACTCCTAAACTTAGCGCCATTTTATCCAAGTATTACAACTTAATACGGAAAAATAAAAAATATGTGTCTAATATTTTTTCATTATCTAACTGACGGACTAATTAGATTTTTATTTTTGATATCCTGGAAACTACCCAATGGCTCGTTTAAAGGCATTAGATAATAAGTTGGTAACGAACATTATTATCTACATTTTACTATAGCTCCGGTTACCAATGAGCGCCGCTCTTTGTTTTACCCAGTGTGAAAGATTTGAGTTCCAAATATATTATACTAGCTTTTCACCCGGGGCTTCGCTCGCGTCACAAAAGGATAAAAAGTAGCCTATTTGACATATACCAATACATAATTTTGTTTTCCCTCGGGAATACCAAAATTTTCCGGGATAAAAAGTACCCTATTATTTAATCCAGACTTCTAACTTCACGTCTGCAAAAGTTCAAAGCAATCGGTTTAGTAGTTACGGCGTGAAAGTGGAACAAACAAACAAACAAACAAACTCAGTTTCCGATTTATAATATTAGTAAGGATAGTAAGGATTCTTCCTCAGACATGATTGAAATGATACCGAAACGTTTACTGTCATACTTTGTTACTTCCCTCTCTTGACCT